AGTGTCCCGTTAGTAACTGTTTACGTTCCACCTCCTGCTGTTGCTGACACTGTATATGAGGTAATCAGCTGCGTTGTTGCCAGGCACGTGCAGAGGGGGGGGCTAAGGGGGCTTGAGCACCTGCCCCTTTAGTGGTCTCTGCACAGCCCTGGTTGTTGCTAAGCTCCAGACACAAATGCATTTGTGGCAATATTATGATATATAAGTATTGTTACCTTGACTTTAAAGCAATCACTTATAAAGAACATGCATTCAGCAACTGTAAAAATGAATATGCCTCTAACAGGAAGAAGTTTCCAGCACAGGTCTTCAGCTTGTTAAATGGTATGATCTCAACTGAGGTTTTAGCAGACAGAGCACACAAAGGTAATAAAAAGCACTGATCCAGGAGAACATTGTAATTAAGAAAAGAAAACATTTAATGATAACAGCTACTGGTTTCATTTAGGGATGTGAGCTCTGAGCCACTATTCAAGTCTGGCTGATGAATTGAGTTGGTTGCAGTCATGGACGTAATTTGGATGGGACACAGGTGACATGTCCCCTGCACTTTTTCAAAAGTTTGTTTTGGTCCCCTGCACTTTTCACTGTCCAAAAACATTGTTATGCTGCAATACACGACATTCAGACCAAGTAGGACCGAGCATAAAACTTCAGCTCAAGATGAAGCCCGATCCCCTCAGTTAGGACCGCCCACAAGCTCCTGATTTGCCCTCCGTCTTTTCTTTTGTGAAAGGTTGTCACCGCTGTCACTCCTAAGAAGCTCACTTTACAGACATTTTTGAGATAACTTAAATAGTCCAGGAGTTATACTCTTTTAGAAAAACATTAGTCTGGAAAAGCGACATTTGTTGAGGGAGTCTGCTACTGAAAATTATTTTCTTTTTTCTTTTCTCGGATCACTTAACCTAGAATGGTTTTAATATCAGGTGTATTCATTTACACAAATCTTTGAATTGGTCTCGTGTATGCGTGTGTTTGTGTGTTTGGTTATTAGACTCACTGCCAGGATGTCTGAAAAAAGATAGAGAGACATAAGAGATTTATTTAAAAGTCAAAGTGTTACATTCAAAGAACTGTAACACCCATCCTAAAACACCTTCACTTGGTCCTTAGAGCAGCATATCCAATCCAAGATTCTCCACTTCATTTTAAAGCTCTCAATAACCTTGTAAAGTAAATTAGTTTTCTTAGAATTTCTGATAAATTCAATTCTATTTATGTAGCGCCAATTCACAACACATGGCATCTCAAGGCACTTTACAATTCAATCAGATCATACAGTAGAATTGATTCAAAGTTTTCTATCTAAGGAAAACCAGTTGATTGCATCGACTATTGACTCGGAGGTAATCCCTCACGCTAAGAATGCCCGTAGCGACAGTGGAGAGGAAAAACTCTCTTTTACTAGGAAGAAACCTTCAGCAGAACCAGGCTATATGTGAGTGGCCATCTCTGCCGAGGCCGACTGGGGTTCATGTAGATCAATTATATTATTATTATCATCAAAAAAGGAAAATATATATTATCTAGGATTGTGTTTTTATATATCCAAGTTCATAAAAAATGTACAACTGTGTTTTTAGTCTACATTGACTGTTGCACCCCAAATTGTCCAATTCTTCATGTCATGCATCCATGTATTTTATCAGGAGGGGTCGATGCAAGAGAAAGTGTATGAAACAAATACAGAAAATCTAATAGAAAACACACTGAACTTATGTATAATAGATTGAAAATACTTGTGTTACCCCGTCTTCTGAAATCAAACTTTTGTCCATGTTTGCAGTGAAAGCTCTGTGTTCAAAAGAAGAACATGGGAGTTAACCAATTAAAGATGGTGTCAATGCTGAATAGAACACCAGGCTATAAATAGCTACTATAAAGAGAGGAGAAATTAGCAACCATAAGGTTAAAAGTGAAAATCAAAGTAAATAATGCATATTGTAAGAATTTTAGTAGTATGCAGCGCTACCTGCAGCCACACAGGCAATAATCCCACTTTTTCATTTTGCCTTTATTTATTTAGCACACCAAAAAACCTTATCTGGAAGTATTAACATTCCTTAGTTTTGAACTGTTACGGCACATTTAGTCAATTTCTATCAATTAAATTCTGCTAAATACCTTTTACTATTTGTTGTGTCTTCCTGTTTTTTCTGTGGACTGACGGCTGAAACCATGTAAGACAAATGGATGGAGTCTGGCAGGTTTAGTATGATTCAGGTAGTGTTGATTTG